TTACCTCATCTCTATTTCGTTGTATCTGTCTTTTTCTTTAAGGTTTCTGTGTGTTGTGACTTGCTTAAGAAGGTCTTTCTTTTACCAGGGTAATAGAAGTCTTTATTTTGTTTTTCACATTTGATTTTTTTAACCCATCCTGAATTATTTTCTGTAGAGTCTGAGATAGCAGTAACAAATGGCTGGTTGGATTTCCAGCGGCGCTTACTGAATTGTTCCTTCTTTCCTCTTGGCTGATTTAGAACACCCCCTCCATTACAGTTATATATGTTGGTCTATTTCTGGGCTTTCTCTTATGTTCTGTTGATTTGTTTGTCTCACCCCCCTAATACCATCCTGTCATTACCACAGATTTATAGTGTATTTGATATCTGCTGGTGCGAGTCCTCGCGCATTATTCTTGATTACATTCTTTTCCTCTTCTTGTACGTTTCTCTCCTGTGCTAACTTTAGCATCGGCTTGTCGCAGCCAGTGGAAGGAAGGTCCTGCTGGCCTTTGATGGCATGGTGTTGACTGTACAGAGGAGAGGACGGACATCTTTAGAAGCCGCATGGAGTTTAGGAGAGTGTTTCCAGGGCCCCGTATGTAGGACACGATTGTAAGCAGGAGGCCCGGCGAGGCCAGCGGGACAACACGAGATGGTGTGTTGGGAGTGAGCACAGCTCCTTCAAATAGCTGTCTGCCCCCATGCGCACACATGTGCACACGCACATACGCACACGCTGCGCCATCCTCTCTGGGGTGGACTCCCATCTGGGTCTCTCTCTGCACGCTGACAAAGCCTCTGTTGGCCGCCCGGACGCCAGGCTTCCCGGGGCCACGTTCTGTCTCCTGCCTCTGTCCTTTCTTCCTGTTGAATTATAAGCAAACCTGTAGACAATTCCAGAGGTGGTGTCTGTGGCTCAGCTGTTAGAAAAATACACTTTTACTGTGAGTGTGCGGAATTTGATTTCTGCCAGAGTTTTACCGCCGACACTGTGTGCCTGAGGGAAAGCAGACAGGTGAAAGCGCTGTGTGGAGAAGAGCTGCTTTGTAATGCTGTCTGAGAAGTTGTGATGCCTTTGCAGTGCGTGGAGGCATGGTCTGTATTTACTGGCTTCACTGGATTTCTGGGTGCGGAGGCACACTGTGTCCAGACATTGGTCACACGGCG